CAACTGGGGGAAGGCATGAGGACAAAACTAAAGAGCAGTGAAAACAAGATGAAATCATCCACTACATGACTGGAAACTGCCCACTATAGCCCAGTGAATATAGGCTGTTCTGTGTAATTCTTTTATGAATGTGTGTTCTCACAGCATATGCTGCCTATATATCACTGCCACTAAATAGGTTCTGTTCATGTAGGTATGTCTTCAGTTTTTCTGTGTCATAGAAATTTGCAGATAACTGTGTCAATAACATTTATTGACTAATTCACTTTTCTCTAAGCCTCAGATTTTAATCACTTACTCGGTAAAATGGTTTTAAAAATGATCTTAAGTTATCTCTAATTCCAAATTCAGTGACCTCTAATCCAGAGCTTAAGTCACCTCATTCCCCTGCCTCATGGTTTAACAGCTTGTCAACACTCGCTTGTTAGTACTACTATATAGAGGAACAAGACTGGGCCAGATTTCAAATTATTATTTCTCAGCAATCAATACTATTTTTAATCAGCAGAGTAAGTCAGTATTTGGGAGTGAGGATATGAATTCCAATAAATGAGTTAAAATGAAGATAGAGTTTATGATTAAAACAATGATCGAAATGAGATAATACATTAAATATATTTATTTCTATACTGGGTTAGAATGCAAGTTACTAACTCATTCTTGCTTCTAGAATTCTAAAAAAGAACAGTTGTGGAGCTGGAGAGATGGCTCAGCAGTTAAGAACACTGTTTGTCCTTGCAGAAGATCCACATGGCAGCTAAAAACTGTCAGTAACTCCAGTCCCAGGGGATCCAACAGCCTCTTCTGACCTCTACTGGCATTTCACGACATGGGTGCACTTACTTACATGCAGGCAATACATGCATACACATAAAATAATAAAATTAAATTAAGTTAAATTTTTAAAAAGTTTTTGAAAAATAACAGTTGTTAAAACTACATGCAGTAGATTGATTATACAGTTAGTTTGCCGTAGTGATAATGAATGCTTTTGAATTAGTTCAGCATTTTATTCATTCTCAGAAATATGTCCCAATTTTGACACTCAATTCCCTAGTTTTAGTCCCCTGCCACTACTTGAAAAGGAAACACTTTGAGAAGTAGAAGACCAAAAATAAAAACAAAAACAAAAAATACCCCCAAACAAAAACCACAGAATCATTTTAAAACAGGGACCTAACCATCTGGCAATTGGTGACACTCATTATAGTCCCAGTTATTTCTTAATCAACAGAGATTCCAGGCAGAATAAATCTTACCTTCTACTGTCAGAGAATATTTCCACTGAAATGGGAATGCCCCAAAGGAACTGTGTAAAAGAAAAGACAAGAGGAAAAGACGCTTACTGGACACATAAACGTCACCCTACAAATGCTTCAGTTAGCCCATGTTGGAATCAGAATTTTGTTTGGCTGTCAATAAGCAGAAACATTGTCAAACATTTGTTGATGTTGTTGTTGTTTTTGTTTTTGTTGTTGTTGTTGTTGAGACAGGGTCTCCCCATATCCCCATCTGGCCTGGAACTCACCATGTAATCCAAGCTGGCCTGGATCTCGCAGAGATTCTCCTGCTTCTGCCTCCCAAGTGCTGGGATTAAAGATGTGTGCCACCCATGCCAGCTTCCAAATATCTATGTGTGAGTACACACCATTTAAAGACAGAAAACACACCAAAAAAAACACACTAAAGTACCAAAACATCATCTGTATTTAGCATACTTAAAAAAATAAAGTCTTCCTATCATTTTGTGTGTTTGTTCAATTGGTGAACAAAGGCATGAAAGATAGGTGAAAAAATATATCCTCTTTTGCAACCCAGAGCTCACTGCTGAGTATGAGTTTCAATACATACTGGAAGGAACAAGACGGCTCAAAGTGATGGTTTTGAGAGAAAAGATGGTGTAGGAAAGAGGTGCACCCTGGCAGCTGGCTTCAGGCCCAGAGTGTGCAGGCTCCCAAGAGACTGAATACATGCAATGTATCATCTAGGGTTGAATATTTACCTGACCATTGGCACATCTATATTGATTTCAAATTTCACACTAAAGTACCAAAACATCATCTGTATTTAGCATACTTAAAAAAATAAAGTCTTCCTATCATTTTGTGTGTTTGTTCAATTGGTGAACAAAGGCATGAAAGATAGGTGAAAAAATATATCCTCTTTTGCAACCCAGAGCTCACTGCTGAGTATGAGTTTCAATACATACTGGAAGGAACAAGACGGCTCAAAGTGATGGTTTTGAGAGAAAAGATGGTGTAGGAAAGAGGTGCACCCTGGCAGCTGGCTTCAGGCCCAGAGTGTGCAGGCTCCCAAGAGACTGAATACATGCAATGTATCATCTAGGGTTGAATATTTACCTGACCATTGGCACATCTATATTGATTTCAAATTTCTGAACTTAGAATTGGCAAATAAGAGAGAAAATAAGTGGGGAACCAAGATGGCAGTGCCATGCTTGCATGGCTGCCCACAGGCACCAATAATGCAGAACTCCCACCTGCCCGCCCGCCCACCTACGTGCCATGGTGGCACCCATGGTTGGCCAAACATCAACATCAAGTGGCTCTCAAGACCTGGTTTCAGTCCTCAACATTAGGAATCTGAGACGCCTACAGATTTCAGAATATAAACTAGAGGACACTGGCATAAAGCTGTCATGTGAAGCTGTGAAACTTCCCAGCTGCCTCTCTGAGAATCTTTGACTGGAGGCCTGGAAGCTAACTGCTGCCTGCTGTGAGGATACATCTTCTTCTTTTACCCAGAGCAAAACCCTGCAGGTAATCAACCTTTTGGAAAATATCTTGGTTCACATTGGGGTCTTTGCGCTGAGTGAGGCCTGGAAACAACCAAAGTGTGACCTCTGTGCAAGGGCTGGCTGCAAACAGCTAAATCTGATGAGGAAAACCAAGTGTCTGCTGAGAAAAAGAGAAATCCCTACATGACATCCCCAAGTAGTATGTAAGAAAAACAGAAAAAAAAAAAAGAAAACCCCATTACAAGAAACCTGGGTACATTTTGAACAAAACCATTTGCAAAGAAAAGGGAGTGGGCTCTTCGTTTGGCACATCTGAGTTTAAGAATTATAAATCACTGATAAGCTAATGAGATATGATTTCTCTGGCACCAGCTCAGAGGTTTTATATAGGATGGATGGGATTTTTCATTTACTAATACAAGACACTATGTTGGAAGTGGTGGATATGGGGTGGTACTGTGAGGGTGGAGATGGGGGAGGAGCTGTGAATATAATCATAATTCTTTGTGTGAAATTCTTGAATGAATAAAATTTCTCTTAAACTTAAAAAAATAATAAAGTAAATCTTAAATGAGGAAACTGCCATTTTTCTAAATTTGATCTATACTTCAGAAGACAAAAGTAAAAGAAATTTGACAGCCCAAAATCAATGCCTGAAACAATTTCTTCTTAATGAAAAACAACTCAAAACAAATAAGCTTAGGGAAAAAAAACTGCAACACAAAAAATACAATAATTTCCTTTTTAATAAACAGCATGTAACATGTAGAATAAGTAGAAAAGGGGGTTTAATTGAGGAAAGGCAATTTTGTGAGAACTTAAAAGAAAACCAAATGATCAGTAAAAACTAGACTACTTATTAGTCATCATAAAGCAAAATTTAAAGTACATGATACACGCTTTGTTCATTACCACAGTGGAATCTATAGCTCTCTATGTAATATTTACAAATAATTGTGCCTGGAGACTACTTTAAATAGACATTTTCATAATTTGGTTTGTAGTATATATTTTAAGGTCTTTCTATAGGGGAATTGTCCAAAAGCTTTACAGAATTAAAAAGTGTATATTCTTTGCCCTAAGTGTCTCATGATACCAATCTAGCTGGGCCTCATCAAGGGTTTTCTCACTCTGTGGATCATCATTGCACTTTATATATCAGGAAATGCAACCACAGAGAGCATCTAGACTCCTTCAATAAATAAAGCCTGGTATCAAAATTCAAATATGAATATGTAGTAGACTGTTTTATATTATATATACCTATATAAACAAATCAAATAAGTGAAAATAGTGGATATGTAGCAAAATCCCAAGAAGTCAATATTTGCTTTTGTTCTATGTGATAGTCACCATAACATATTATTAGCATTTGTCCTATTTAGAGTCAGTCTTCATTGTATAAATTTTGTTTAACCTTATAAAATTATTTTAATACAGTATTCTTATTAAGAATAATAATATAAGAAGTTAGAGAGATGGTTCAGCACTTAAGAACACTGGTGTTCTTGCAGAAGACCCAGGTTCAAATCCCAGCACCCACGTGGCAGCTAACAACTGTCCTTAATTCCAGTTCCAGGGGATCCGACAGTCTCTTCTGTCCCCTCACAGGCATTGCGTGACACTGGTGCACTTACCTACATGCAAGCAATACACACATACACATAAAAATTTTTAAATGTTTTAAAAAAGAATAATAATATGAAACAACATTTTAAGAATATGTAAATAGTTCTAAAATAATTTCTAACTACAAATTATGTGGGCCTTTCAATAAGTAATATCATTTATTATTTTAGAATATTGAATGTTGAAGACAGAAGTTATAGGTATTGAACACTATGTTTCTACTGTTGAATGTAATTTAAAGGTAATAATCATCTCTTTCTTTTCTAACATACTGTTAGAAGTTGTTAAAACTGTATAAAAGGATATTGTTTAACAATTATAATTTAAACCTTTATATCTACAAGAGATGGTCCTGAAGAAATATTTCTGTTATTCCCAGTGAATAAATTTGTCAGAATTTTTTGTCTGAAAGACAGTGTTGTCAAAGACAGCTAGACTCAGGAATCATATACATGAAGTAAGCCAGGCACAGAAAGACAAGAATTACATGATCCACTCATATTTGGAGTATAAACAATATTGATTTTATGGAAATTGAAAATGGAGTGGCAGTTACCAGAGGCTGGGAGACTACTGGGCAAAGAGAAGCAGGGAGAGGTTGATCAGTTTCATAGAAGTAAGAACCTTTGCTGGGTAATCACAGTCAGGTGAGAAGAGGTATCAGTTGTTATGTATGATGCCTTTAAAAAGTTAGAACAAATCATCTTGAATATTTTGCCATAAATACATGACTGATGATTGAATAGATTGGTATGTTCAATGTAATTCCACAATGTATACTTGCATGAAATCATCACGTGATATCTCATTAATAAGTACAACTTTTACATTTTTATGTTACATTTAAAAAAAGTTAAAGAGAAGAAAATTGATATGCTCTCCTGGAGACATCAGTATCCTCAGGGTGTCTGGGAAAGTTCATCTCCACGACCTTCAATTTCAACATCATTTAAATACTACTTATGAGCTTTCCTGCTTTCATGAAGCTTAAATAAGTCAGAATTAGAGCTACTTTGCTATTATAATGTGGCTATTGAATTAGTGTTGGTCAAATATAAGCTTTTTATATTCCATAATAATAATGTTTCTATAGGAAAGGAAGAAAGTCTATCTCAGAAAGAGAGGGTTGCACTTATGTCATACTCAATGGCATGTGTCCTCTTTATACTCAGTGCACATGATCCCTGAAGAGATGGAGATTCGTAAACTATGCTGCTTTATAAATGGTGTCTGACTAAACTGGGTTCCAGGATTCTGCTCTATGAATAATGAAAAAAAATTCATCTACCTGGGCCCAAACTATTTTGCTAATAAAAATCTTGAAGGGTTTATAGTAAGTTCCACAGAAAGTCTGCTTGGCTGCCATCTCAAGCACAGTGCAGCCACAAGGACAAGGCCACCCCCAGTGTCCATTCCCTACCACTGTGCTGCTGACTGCATAGGGTGTCCTGACCACTGTTGGCAGTCAATACCCACTGGTGCCCTGATTCAGTACAGCTTTTCATCTTTGAGTTTTTCTTTTTTTCTAATGCTTTTGATTTTTTAATAAGAGCTATTTGAAGTAAGTGCTTTATTATTTATTTCCCAAGAGCAAAGGAGCAACTTTGTGTGCCTCATGTGAGCCATAGTAATGCAACATTAATTAAGCTGGTACTTCACTGACCAAGTCATGGACATCTGTCATTTGTAAATTCAGTTCTAGCACATACAACTAAAGCAAAATTGATAGGCTGTAGAAATCATCCTCTCTATATAAGGGAATGATTATTTTACCATAATACTTTCTGTAGCCTCAGGGAGTTTTCCCCCAGTAGGAAAAGAAACTATGCTCTCATAGATAGGATTATAGCTTTATTTATTTAGAACCTAATACTAGCAATTGTTAATATTTATCAAGTGCTTACTATATGTCAAGCTCTGTTCTGAACACTGATAAGTAGTTTCTCTCAGAATCTCATTGATATTTTAATGCATGCATTATTATCCCCAGTTTTGTTTGAAGTAGCGACACAAAGAAGCTAATACTTGTCCAAAATGATGCAGCTCTGATGTCTGAAGGGTTTCAGGTAAAAATTAAACTCAGGCAAAATGAAACAAGAGTGGTCACCCTATTTCATTCATATGAAATTCATTTCTTTTTAGTCTTTGTAATTATGACATTTAATTTGAGAATTTAACATGTTTTGAGAATATAACATGTTTTGATTAAATCCACCTCCCTAGTTCCTCTCTACCACTTTCCACTACTAAATTTGAATACACTTAAAATTATTTATTTTTTAAAATTTCATACAATATATTTTGATCATATTTAGACCTCCCATATTTAAACCCACTGAGTCCACTTAGTTCTGCCAGCATGTGCATGGGTGTAGTGCCATCCACTGGAGTACAGGCATCCTCTAAGGTAAAAATTGATACTCTAAAGAAAACTGGCACTCTCCTTTTCCCAGTAGCCATCAACTGGCAGTAGCTCC